AACCAATCAACAATTACTGTTGCGATAATCATTGTCAATTTTCGCTTTCCAAGAAAGCGCACTGCTTTATTTACTGTGAGCCGGGCAATTAATATTCTTTACCTATGGATGATGTAGCCACTCCGCGAGTGTAGCTCAGTCTCCTTTCGAACCAGACGGCGGGGTCTGGGAACCTCTCCAGAAAGAAGTGACGGAACACTGGATGAAAATGATCCATCAATTCCTTCAGAAGATAAGAACTGGGTGAATATTGAGTTAACATATGAAGGGGGGTGCGCAAAGGTAATTTCTATTTGCTATTTGAAAGCAAACTCTGTCTCGTTAAATGTGGCATAACGTTCCGAACTATACCAAATCATCAACTCATCATTCTTGTCAAAATTTAAGGCTGGTTTTGTATCTATAGTCAATACGTCCATTACCTGGTAAACTTCATCTCGTGATTTCCCACCGTTGTCTCCAGCCTAAAACAGTGACAATAACAGGCATGGAAATGTTATTACTAATATGATCCTATCCGTTACTGCGGTTACAATTGGTTAAATATGTTTGCCACTGTACCTGAACCTTTTTTCTACACTCGAGTGATGTCCAGTCCCCAGGATAGTACCGCGAGTGAGCGCCTGTCTTGGTTCCAGACCGTCCGATCAAGTATTCACCCAAGGGGACTGTGTCTTCGCACCATTCCACTATTCCACTACGTTGCGATAGCGGGATAACCTGAGAAAGGAAATGATACGTAAAAAAGCAATATTTAAAAAATAATGAAAGAGAACTGTTGCGATGCACGTGCTACCAGAAGGAGGTAAGCAAGTTTATGAAAAACAGGGAAGGCCATGTTGTACAGCGGGGGTTTTATGTGATGCACTGCCTGTGTTAGGGTTAGGGTTAGGGCCAGCAAAACAAGGCTAAGCATGCAATAGTCTTGACCGGAACCGGAAAGCACTAATGAAACTGTCCTGCAAAAATTGGTCAAGTCAGCTGCAAAAATGAAATCAGAGAGGAGGTGGAGACGTTTTCTACCTTTCTTATTGCCGGTACTTGCAACGAATGGAATGAAAAGACTACGCCTCATATATAAACTGAACATGTGGAACGTTCACACAATTCCAAGAAATGATAAGGACTTACAGTGACTTACCTTATAGGTTCTCAT